AGATTCCATACCATTCCATATCTGTCCGTAGGTTTTATTAATTTTATCTGTACTTCAGTAATGAGACGTTAATAATCTGTTACAAGCTTATTTTTATAAGCCAACTAACCAATTAAAAAGAATAATGGCGGTGGAGGATCGCAGGTGCTTCGATTGCAAGCTGCGCGAGCGCAACGTTATATTACGCACGATATAAATTAACGGTGGTATGTGCATCGATGTAAAGTCATATGTCATACTCGGACAGAACCAGAGAGGAGAGAGCTGTATTCGAAATTTAAACTTGTCTAACACGGATTAAATTAAATAATAACTTTGTACACATGACGGGGTACGTCGTGATTCTAAATTTAAATTTGTATTAGGTCTGTAAATATATCTTTGCCTATCATAAACATAATTTGAATAACACGGTTACCAACTTAAAAGTCACTTACGTAATGGTAATTTACAATAAATGCATTCTTGATCTCTTATTTAATAACCCTAAAAATTGGTATTTATCAAGATTACAAAATGCTCATCACGTTTTACGAAATATTGCTTTTCTTGACCCAGGGAAGTTAATCGTTTAGAAGTTTCTATTGTTCCTTCACATAAAAATGTCTTGAGACACGGCTGTTTGGCCCCAAACTATGCAGAACCTATAATATGGTAATCAGAGTGCTGATAAACATACTCGTATATTACTATCCTCTGAACTAATTATCGTTCTCATCACACAATTATTTATGTTGCGTGGGTAACATTTTAACCGAAATTACTAGTATTCCCGTTAACCTCTCCAGCTCAGCTAAATTGCTTGTGTTAGGAGTCATGTCGATAGTGTACTGGTCAAGATTCGAATCCAATGCCTTAACGACTAGGCTACCGCCGCTTTTAAATTTATTCCCATGATCTTTGGTTTAAGAATAAATCATTAACCAGTAGACCACCACAGACTCATCAATTGGTATTATATACGACATTACATTATGACATTACCTAGTATAGCATAGCAACCAAATTAAAGTTTTCGAATCATAGCCAGTAACCAAATTAGGGTTTTTTTTTAATAGGACTAATCCCTCCCACACTCCCACCACTGTAACTCCTGTACACCAGAATCAACAGCTGTGGCCCACGAACACAGTGAGTTATGACACTTGGGAAGTCCCAGGAAAAGTTAAACTGTCTTCGAACCCGCAACGAAATTAATCAGAAGTAAAGAGTTGGAAATATATTAAATCCACTTACGGAATATTGGTACAATAACCCACTAAATTAATGTCATCTAAGCACAGTCCGTGAGTTACGGTGGCAATCTATAGTCGTCGCCATCCCTTGCACTGCACCAAACAATAATTTATAGATAGTTCCACCCATTTATCCAACATCCTGTCACCGATTTCTGTCCTGATGAATATAGAACAAAATAAACAGTAAACCCTTTTGAAATAAACTATAGCACAGAAAGCTGATATAAATCGTGATGAACACAGTTCCTTGTTATTTTGGAGTCAGTGAAAAATTGTTTATAGAACAAAATGCTGACATATTATGTAAGGATCACTACCTCCTTCCGTTATTGGTAAATATAAATGTTCTTTTATAAAATTATACAAGAGTCTCAGCCCCCATCCCCCCCCCCCCCCGGCTCCCCTCGGTTTGACATCAGTAACCTCAATCACTCAATAAAAGCAACGAAACCAGTTAACACCAGTTTTCTGTGACGCCGTGGTGTTACTCTCGTAGAGCCTTAACTCTTAACACCACCAGGGCCCGTGCCCACGGCCAGTACAACCTTGTCAAAAGTCAGGAAATTTAAGATAAGTGTGATAAGAACATAATTAAATTCATCAATAAATAAAATAAATTGAAAAGTATGTAACAATTAATAAATAATTACATTTCTTGTTAATTATACATACGTAATTAATATGTAAATTAACTGTGAATACGAAACAAATTTAATTAAAATTATAAATATAAATTAATTCTTGTCTGTTAATTATTATAGGTTATTGATACCATGCAGTAAACACTTATTTAAGAGAGTTTTTGATTGGAAATTGTTTATATAAGCTGACTGTTCTGTGAAGCAGGACTATAGTTTAAAACAATTGTTTTTTTATTTATACAAAAATGACCTTAGGCCTATTCATCCTGTGGGTGTTCTAAAATGAACATCTAAGGGAGCAAACTACGCAGGACAACAGCACTGCAAAGAGAAGGAAAACTTGACACAAATCCTATACCAACCCGTCTTGCCAGTGTGGTATAGTAGTCCAAAACTTGCTTTCTTAGGAGAGACCTATGTCCAGCAATGGACTATTAAAGGCTGTTGATGTGACAATATAAAAGGAAAAGTTGCTAAGATGAGAAGGCAATGACATGAAGAGGATATTGCTTTTGGTGTTGAAGTGTTGTGCTTAAATAAATCTATTTTCTCTACAATACACAGCCCAATCGGTAACTTATTGTAGATGCTTGATGCCATACATTAAGCACTTATTATTTAGGTTAGCAGTTTTATGCTGACTCCAGCGTTTGTTTTTTTTTTTAAATACCGTGTTGCAATGTAAGTAAGTCGTCAAACAAGGCTTTAAACACCCAATTCCCAATTTTAATAGTAAGTATCAGTATTGTTCACTTGCAATTTTTTTTCTGACCCCCTACTTTAAGCTGTAGTGTCCTTTCTTACCTGCAGAAAAGTATTACCCAAATACCGTATCTACTTTTGGTCTGCTGCCTCTTAGGTATGCCTACGTCTACTGAAGTCAAACATAAAACCTAAAAACCTTTCAGTAATCAACAGTACCTAGAACTTCTGATTACAAATGAGAAAAGCATCACCAGTCCTATCTGCCTTTTTTTTTAATTAGGTAACCTAACTACGTGGTCTAAACTTGCCTGGGTTTAGGACATCTGCTATCCCTACTTTCTTACGTGTTTGAATTAAAATTGGTACTTCACTATCCAATCAGTTTTTAAATTGTCTGCTTAGCAATTAACTTTTCAATGCTGCATGGACACGCTTCACGTTATCATAATAAAGACAGTTTCACTAACTTATTTTAGTTACAAAAATATAGCTATAGAAACCAAAGTTCGTATGATTATATTAGGTACTTAATAACCACAAAGTATTAAAAAAAATCAATTTGTTGACTTAGTTTTGAAACAGAAAATTATGTTAAAATGTTATTATTTAGTATCTTCAACCCCATTTTAGCATCAAATAGTACGGCAAATCGTCGGCCATATTTAAACATTAAAAAGGGCGCGGTCGCGTTTAAAAATGCACATCAATTTGTCAACGGTAGGCGTTACGACCACAGATAATTGGTAACGAACAGCTGATAAAAACTTAGTTGTTTATTTCAAATTTATACAACACACGCCCTGTGTTATTATTTGGGCTGTCTTGAAGAAAATGTTTTAATAACGACTTTCATTATTGATTCGATAAAACGTTAACGTTATGTGCTAACCTTATTGGCAGTATAACTAATTAAAAGGCCTTTTAAATAATTATTTTTAATAAAGCAGCTGTTTTCTGTAGGTACCTATAATAACTGTTAATAAATTTTGCTGTACTACTGAGTTATACAAATACCAATTCAAATTATCTGAAACCCATTTATTTTAATTTCTTTCTTTTATGTTTTAAGTCAGTATTTTATTTTCTAATTAATTTCTTGACCATATTTATTGATTAAAAAAATATGTGATGTAATTTCTTTCATCTCTTATTTGACATTATAAGTAATATTCTACTCGATAATAATCACATTCGATTTTAATAGAAAAAAAAACGATAAAATGTATTGAATGAAGAGTTTTTCACGATCGATCTTACAGTAACTTGAATAACTAAGAAATCTATGACCTACTCAAAGATGAAACTATTTTTCTTTGACTTTAGTAGGTAGTTAGTCGTTAATTAAATATGTTAGACTTACAGGACTCATCATAGACATTTTTTCTAAGTATTTAAATTCGGTTTTGTGTCCTATCTCAATTTTATTTAGCAAACATGTACTTTACTACGTTTACTGTACGGAAACATGTCATTTTCTGTCATAAGTATCATACAAACTTGTTTTAAAAAAGTTAACAATTCGAATCGTTCTCATAAATCTAATGCCCAACTAGCAGTGGTATGTGTAGAAAAAATAATAACTCACTTTTTTAAATATAATGAAACAGTTGGTAGTAAATATGACATTATTTAATATATTGTTTAGAAGAATAGTGCTTTGAATTAGGATTTTGAATGTACCTTAGTGCCTATACAAAAGTATAGGTTTAGAGATCCTTAGCGTCGTTTTACTTTAGTATATTTTAAATTAGGCTCAGTGCTATCTTAGGGCGACATCTAAGCGGCAGGATCAGCAGTAAATTACGAATGAACTGGAGCGATGCACCATCTCATTGTATGCAGATCGGACGTCCGCGCGTCTACCAACTACCACCTACATTTGCATCAACTTTCGGAACAAGAAATTTGCAAATAAGCCGCCCACCTACCTAATTATAACCACAACACACCGTAAAAATATTTAGACCTTATATACCCCTCAAGATACTATCGCAAGAATACCGCGAATGAAAGTAGAAAACCTTTTTATCTTGCAATTTATAGTACGCAGGTGGCGCATCTAAACACCAACGTACACAAACGTCGTTATCGAATATCATTTTCAATTATATAAACAATAGCGATCGCAGCCATTGTTCAAATCACAATAGCATCGCTCATTACTCAGCCGCTCGTTAACTCACCGGCCGGCCGCCGCGAAACACTAACTTTATCAGCGGCTCACGTCAAAATATCTACAGATCTCAAACTATATCTCCTCCGGACACAATCGAAGTGAAATAAAAGCAAAGATTCGAACATGACTCCTGAACGCAACCCAGAAGCCAGATGCGTATCGACGCGCCAAAAAGCAAACTTCAAGTTTCGAACTTCACCATCGGCAGTGATATGACGTGTCCCGCGTTCCTTTTTCGAAATGCCCGCGAATTGTCAACCGTCGCATAGACAACGAGCCCATTTGAATACCCTCGATTTGAATATAAAGGTCGGCATTCACGTGTCGCCGCCATACATCAACCGGGAAGGCTTTAAGTCTTTCGAGCGCTTTTTGGACACAAATAAGCGTCTGATGTTCGACAGGACGCGCATAATACGGTCAGATTTAATTCTGCAGGGACTCAAGTTGCACCGCGGCACTGTTTATGAGACATATGTGATGAAAGTGCGTTAACATTGGCAGCTATTTTGCTGACTGGATGCGAATGTTTTAACTGCCTCGGAGCTGACTCCAAACTCACTCAGTTAGTGATTATGTAAATGACGATTTCAAATGTCACATTATAGTAATAATCATTTAAAATATTTATAGCGTGTAAACGTCGATATTAAGCGAGTAGACACCCACGACAGAGAGTCCGTATCGTCTGGGTCCATAATTCATTTGGCCACAATTACAACCATTAAACGGGGCGCAACTCTTTGATATTTCTTTTTATTTATTGTAGCAAAGTTATTAGGATACCGTGGCATTAATGATGACAGATGAGGCGGGGTATCGCAGCTTAATGCGCTCTGCGGCGGTTTTGTGCTCGCTCGGGTCACTCGGCGATAGTTTAAAAAAATGTAGTTAAATTATATCATATCGAAGCATAATTAGGCACCGTATTACTGCGGCGTCTGAATAGGTCTACAAATAAATGAATGGTTATTTCAGTGTTTTATCGTCCCGCATAGTTAGGCCTAAACCTACTAGCGTTAAAGCGGCCAGTTTTATATGTAAATGGCAAAGATATCTACGCTTAATTGAAAACTTTATCACGGCAGAACATTGCGTTATATTAATGTGCCGTCCGCGGAATCTACATAACAAAACTATTTTCACGCTTAGAGAAACACAATGGAATAAGTATTATTGTTCAACAGACAAAATAATGTCTAACATTAATTATTCAAATTTCATTATCTACTCATTAATTTAAGCGGTTGCCCTGTCAGTTTATCTTACAGCCGAATACTTAAATGCCACACTTTTCTAACACGACGTTTAGTCGCAAGCATTAACTGTCGTTTTTCTGTGAATTGGAAAACCTTCATTTCATTTTATCATTGTTTTGGAGTCGGTAATCGGGCATGAGATGCTTAATGTTTTATAAACTTACACAACTTGTAAATAATTTTATTTCTATTATTTTTAATGGTATTATCTAGTTATCGTTGATGCGTTCATTACTAAAGGTGTATTCATTGTGTACAATATACGACTATATTTTTTTTGAAGAATGTACTTCTAGAGTTAGTAAAAAAGTTAAAATCTGAGTACAAAAGTATAAAATTAAAAAAGTCATAGACAAATTAATGTAAATCTATCATGGATTTGAATAGCGAACACGCCGAACGGAAACACGTTGTTTTTACCGAGTTTTAATTTAATTTGAATTCGGAGTGTCGTTGCACGACCAGCACCCCGCTGCGTCTACAAATGGTGGTCATACATCAACCCGATGATATCTCTTTCAACTTTATAAGGAACCCGGCGTGGCCAGCGAATTAATAAATTGTGTTATGATGAAAAAAATGCCTCATATAGTGAAATATTACAAAGTAGTTAGAAATTATGAATTCAGTTTATAACTATGTAGACACTGGAAGCTCAGTTTTAGTTCAAAAAAATATCTATGGCACATTAATTATGTGGAATTTTATTTGGGACAGCATAACAGTTCATAAATTAACTTTTAATATAATTTAAAGAAGGTGTCTGAATGTAAGTTGATACCTCCCTATTTGGTTCGAAAGACGTCGAGGATTTAATTATAGGATCATTTTAGAAACAGCCAATAATCTTTTATAGTAGTTACGCCTACGTTACACGCCAAAATGTGAAGATGAAATACTTAAAAAAAACGTGGAGGCTCTCAAATTGGTACAAATCCGATAATAGTAAACACTTAGTAGTACTTGATTCGAATGAAATAGTATCCTATTTAAATCAGGTTCACAGTATTGCACTAAAACAATTAGTTAGGTATTTATTAAAACTTAGATCGTTTTTGTAGTATTTATTAATAGAAAACCATTTATACGAAACAAACCACACATACGGGGTAAACAGAAAACACGTAGTCTAGAGAGGCGTACCTTACTGCAGGAACTACAAAGTGACAGCAGCAGAGACCTTCTGAAAACCTAGTTATATAAAAGAGATTCGATCCTATTTGTGGATTACATTATTATATAAAGTATTTGTAAAATAAGCAATAAAAAATCTTGCTGAAAACAGATACAGATCTCCTGCCCTATTGTTATTAGCAAACGTGCTTATTTCAGGTTTGTTGTCTATCAAACATTCATGTTAAGCTACTGATAACCAAACGTAAGAATAACGCCTGATAAAAAATTAACAAGTTTTAAAACAAGCAGAGTCTAGTACGCCTTTTCTAGTTTTACGAGCAATGTATTGCAAGTAAATCATTTAAAAAACTAAGACTGTTTTATATTTTGCAGGCGTGTTAACTATTTCTTAGTACAAACATTAATTAAAACTTTAATAGATGCAACTTTAATTTGTGCAAATTAATACTACTTTCACTTGAATAATACTTAAATAATATTAGAGGTCTAAAAACAATTTAACAAACATTTCGATTATTCTTGAATGCATCGTAAGTCAAAATAAATATCTGTCAAAGTCAATGTCAAAGTCAGTGTGAGATAAGATAATAACAAACTGCTGTCATCTCTCAACCTTATGAAGTATAGGAGGAGGTTCTAACCAAAATTAATTCAATCCCCACCACGAAATTAAGCTTTCACCATGGTAATTGCTTTGCATCGTCACTGCTTCGCGGTGCGGTACTGTAGCTGCAGTTCCGGGTGTTCAAACTCAAGATAACTGTATTTTTAACAGGGAACTGCAATGTTCGCGCGAGTGACTTTCTATCCTACGCTTTTGTACAATGTAGTCATGGAAAAGGTGACCAGCAGACGCTGGTACGACAGGATAGATGACACGGTGATCCTGGGCGCTCTCCCTTTCCAATCCATGACGAAACAGGTATGTTGTTGTAGGTTATTTGGTCAGTGGGCCATTTTTCCTTTGAAGAGATTTACGTTGTTTATGAAAGGTCCATTTCATGCTTGTTAAGCACCGCAGAGGTAGGAATGATAATTTCACCTTATTAATAAAATATTATGAAGTCAAGTTTAGGTTTTGAATGAAATTAATATAAATCTGCATTAATTTGATTTCATCTTTTATATCTAAATATATAAATACATGTATATATCATTGGTCTGAATGTGGCATTTGCATGTGCAAACTGATAATGTTTTCAAAAGTGTCTTACACATCTTACACTTTATTAATTTTAAACTTGAATAATAACTAAGCTTCATAAATAAACACAAAAAAATATATATATAAACTAAATATTGTGCAGAAAAATTTAATTTGACCAAATTAGTAGTTACAAGGAATAACATGTAGACTGACAATATGATATTAATTTTTATATAAATAGATAATTTATTATGTATGTGGTTTTTAGGCCATGCATTGATTGGGTTCAACTGAAATGCTATACCTATTTTTTCCAGATCTAATTTACAGACTAGTTTCTTTTATACTGCGTAATTTGTGTCCATTGTATTGTTAAGTGGATTATTTTGTTGGGCATCATGCTTCCCAGTTGATTTCGGCTATGGTGACTATTACTAATTATTAGCAGAAAAGCTAGTATGATCAGCTCTCGCATGTGCCCTTTGACGGCTACAGTATGCAATCCTATGAGTAAATGTGTGTTAGCATTGGCTGCACCTGCGGACACCGCTGGCAAAGCTATAAGAGATGGCTGCTGGTGGTTTAGACTTAAGAGCATAGCATTTTCCATCCAGTTCGGATTTTCTCTGCTCTACATGAACTTTGAAATTCACAAATTGCTTCCACTCTGAGCGGCATCTGGCCTTTTCCTCCGATTTCTGAGGATCAGTATTGCAACTCTTCATGTGTCTTTTCTTAACATCCTTAAAGCAAAAAAAATGGCTACCTTGTTTCCTCCTGCCTCTGTTGAGTTCAGAGAAGAAGATGCATTTTGATAATATTTTAATGGTGTAGAATACTTATGATATACCTATAATTCTGTAAATATACAGGAATTAGCATGACTACATAATACATATTGTGTACCTTAAAATTGAGAGCATGGCCATGCTACTTGGTAGAAGCATTTAAGTGACCGCTGTAAATCCCATACATTTATTTGTGCAGATGGTGTAGTGGTTTGAGCGGCTGCCACACCGTTACCTACTACGCCGAGTGTTGTGGGTTCGATCCCCACATGAGACGCCACTTTGTGTAATCTACAAATTGTCGTTCTGAGTCTGGCTGTTCTTTGTGTATGTTTCATGTATGTTTGTAAAGTTCCCCATTACACAGTACTATTATAATACAGTATTGTAACTCGGCCGCATGATAGAAATAAATGCCTACAGCCGCGCGGTACGTAAACATGCGTTAGGGCTGCCCGTCTCCAGCATTTTAATTATATTTGCCTACTTTCTGTTTCTATTTAGATTTGTGATTGTAAATATCCTTTTTATATAAATAAATGAAATACTTTGTATATTGAATAGGAATTGTTCAATAAAAATGCGTGTTGTTTTTTGATTGGTAGATTAAATTAAAAAACATTTTTTTGTTTGAAAAACCAATCGGGCTTATAAATTAGCGACCGAAAAAATCCTTCTATAAAATAAAATAAATGTGCTTTCTCCATACGCGTTACAAAACTCCAATCCTTAGAAACTCCAACACCTACCACCTACTCAACTAGAATGCAAGAAACAGCTGACGAGTAAGTAACTTTTTATCTCAGCTAATTAACGTCTCTATAAATTACCTAACCTATAACCTACAACTCGCAACAACTCAAAACAAAAATTCTTTGGTCACCAATTAATTAATTATTAAAAAGCTGAACAGCTGACTACGAATGTTTTAAAATCACAACCCTCAAACATCTAAATATTATATATGAGTCTAGCTGTTGTTGTTAATACCGAGAAAATAAAACCAGTTTTTAGTGGTATATGTTGTTATAGTAGCAGCAGAAACACTTTGTGAAAATTTCGAAAACTGTCTAATGACACACAGACGGTAACAAATTTTTTTTAGTATTATTCATACACACAGATAATAAAGATATATTATTAATAATAAAATACCACGTCTTTAAGTAGAATTTTCTTTTTTTTGAATTATGCAAAGTAACAAAACAAACATGCACCGAAGTTTTAACACAAGCGTAAGTAGGTAGGTACCTACCGTATCATGATTCATTCAGAACCGCATGTAACTCCCTATTTCACTCGTCTCAATAACTTTCCGTTACTCTATTTGCTTTATTTATTCATCCAAACACCTTTTTTTTTCGTGAGATAAAAGGAAATACTTATCCATTAAAAAGACACACATTATGTACCTACGTACTAGTAAGTAAAATTATTTTATAGTCTTACTTTTCAGAGTTTCCAGGTAATTTAAAAAAACTTATGTCTGGATGCGTTATTGACGAATTCATACAACCAAAAACAGCACAATATTTCCTACTCGTCATATTAACTGATTTTTAGAGAAAAAATCGCGCGGTTATTGTTAAAAAAACAACACGCAGTCCGTTCGACACTGCGGTACAGCCGTGACTGTCTGCGCCCCGAGCGCACCCCGAGATCGAGGCGCGTAGGTATAGCTCCCGTTTCGTCCGTTTGTATGAAGTTGCAGTACTGTATTATAATAGTACCGTGCCCATTATCATCATCAGGCTATCGAAGTCGAAAAAGGCTGGACATAGGCCTCTCCCATTGCACGCCACTTAGATCGATTTTGGGCTTCTCGCATCCAGCTCCTGCCAGCCATCTTGCGCAAATCGTCACTCCACCTGGCCTGTGGGCGTCGTACACTACGTTTTCCGAGACGCGGTCTCCACTCAAGAACTCGTTTTCGCCAACGGTTGTCGGTTCTGCAGCTAATATGGCCAGCCCACTTCCACTTTAGCTTGCTGCTACGGAAGGCTATGTCGGTGATCTTGGTTCTCTGCCGGATCACCTCATTCCTGATGCAATGATGAAAAAAAAGATTTGTACTGCATTTTAAAAAGTTTAGTAAATCGAATCATATCAAAATAAGCATACTTAATATTCACTTTTAAAAGTAAAATTTCAATTCATACAGCCAAGCGATTTCTATTATATGTAATTAGTTATAAAATAAAGTTTATTTTTTAATATTTAATAAATAAATATGCACCAATATCAATCAAGTATGTAAAGACTAAAATTGTGTATAACTAATGGATATTTTATCAACACTGATAAATAATTACTTATCACAGAATCTACAAATAGCTCTAACTAACTAGACAATATGGGAATAATTGAATTAAATAATTTATTTTATAACTTTATGCCAAAGTATATGCATTGGCAGACTTAATGACAGATAGAGTTACTTTGTTATTTCTAATATAGGATATGTGTGTGTTTAGGGATACATATAATATTTATCAGCAGTCTGGTTACCATCCATGCTCCAGATATGTCAAGTTGCTATTATTATTCCGTATGGTGACGGATTAAAAATACGGAGTGTCACCACCCCTATTCATACCGTGGGTGTCGTAAGAGCCGACTAAGGGGTAAACTACGCAGGACAACAGCACTGCAAAGAGAAGGAAAACTTGAAACAAACCCTATACCAACCCGTCTGGCCAGCGTGGTATAGTAGGCCAAAACCTCTTTTCTAAAGAGAGGCATATGTCCAGCACTGGACTATTAAAGGCTGTTGATGATGATTATTATTATTTACTTTATTTTGGTACACTCTAGCTCTAGCCACTGTATAAAACTTTTAATGTAGTAGTCTCTGGTCAATTTATACTTACTACTACTTCAAACTCTGCTACGGGTTTTTATTCATTAAAGCGAATGATTAATTGAAATTGTTTTATTTTTCCAGTTAAAAGAAGAAGAAAATATGAAAGGAGTTGTATCAATGAATGAGACATACGAGTTGAAAATATTTTCCAATGATGCTGAGGTAAGATATTGCTTCTTTTAAAAAGATTTATTGTTGGCAATGCCAAATAAAATGATATTAAAATAAGCACTAGATTTGGACAAAAAAAGCAGATTTAAGTCTATTAGACTGTCCAAAACCCTCGCCACTTGTTTACTATCCTAATTGCCCCGAATGAGCTGTTAGTAAATCACACTATCTACGTGTCATGATTACTATTAATGCTATCTTTATCATCATAATTTATCTTCCATTTTCCCAATTTTAAATGGTGCCATATAACATGCCTGCCTGACGACAAAGGCGGCCTTAGAGGGTGGCGAGCAGGGCAACCGCCCGGGGCCTCGCTCAGTCGCGCAACGGGTATTTCCCGTGTCATTTTGACAGGCATCCAGTGTTGACTGTTGTCAGCATATGGTTATATATTATATCTTTCAAATGCCTAGCAATGGTCTACCCGCAAATTCCCTGCCCGGGGCCTCGCAATGATATACAAGCAAGGGCCCTCGCAATCAACTACCTGCCCGGGGCCTCGCAACGATCTACCTGCCCGCTACCGCAATACTCGGATGGTAAATTGAGTCTGACTTCAGCAGCTCGGAGAGATATCGTATACCCGTATGTCTGTCCTGTGATTGGAGAATACACTAGGACCTGGACATTTTTCTTTTTAAGTATGGGGCAAACGAGCAGACGCGCCAACGGGTCATAATTACCACCATCCATGGACACCTGCAACTGCCGCTATTTGCCCCCCTCGGTGAAATAAAATATTGGTTAACACCGGTTTTCTGTGAGGCTGTGGTATCACTGGTCGAACCGGCCTATTTATGCCTAAAAAAACAGAAACGGAAGAGCTATCTTCTATGGTTAATCATCAACTGCTGAATCTCTATGTTAATATTTAAGCTGCCGAGCATAAGTACTTATGTCGTCTGAACATCCTCTGTTAGCTTAACGGTAAAATTATATCCTTTGACGACTTCAATAACTATTATTAGATAGCCTCTATCATTTAGTTCAAGTGTCTAATACATATCTAAGTTACAGCGTAACAAAGACTCCTTTGTATTCATATCACAGGAACAAGAGACCATCTCATGAACTTTATTTGAAAAAATATATGTGTTGTCATGATAATATTATCTTTTGTCATGTAGATTTAATCTATTAGAATCTTTAAAGTGTCTTTTGTTATCGTTTTTTAAGTTAAAGTTAGATATTTTGGGCTTCGTTTACCGGGCTAAAATGTGTCCTCTATAGTCATAGAAATTCTCACAACGCAAAGTACGTTTTTGTGATTTTTAATATTTTGTATTATGCAAAATGAGCTCCGAATAAGTGAGGTATGCAGCCTGTACTATGCACCTGAACCAGACTGCTGATTAAAATACTTACATACACATATTACGAGTTAAATACTTATGGAAAAACTACACCCAGGCACACAACAGATGTTCGTGTTCATTATACATTTATTTCTAACGACTGGGAATCGTACCCTTGACCTCAGCAGCCACTCCCTAAGTATCTTTAAAGTAAATAAATATATAAAAACGTTACATAAAACTGTAAGGGTCCAGTCCAAATACATATTAGACTTTTAACTTGAACTAGCAAAATTAAATTTTACGTCAATTCAATTACATACTTAAGTATCTGACGCTAATATAATGGTAACGGACAATTAGTAAACAAGTCAATATTATAGACGTATACGAACAGTTATACTTAACACTCCTCACACATCTAGAAACTCTACGACATTTGAAAACCAAAATCAAAACTGCTTTTAGTTCACGGACGATGCAGAGCTGGCATAAAACACACAAGCATTCAGCTTAGCTGGAAAGCTGAAAATTACAAGCAATCTTAGTCCATCGAGTTTCTCGAATTACCTCATACCGAGACACGGAATTTAGAGGTTGATGGCAGCTCAATAGGAAACCAGAGATTCGTGTACTTTAAACATTAAAAACTTTTTCATTTAAATATTGTAAAATTCTAAATCCTCACAAGAAGACGCCTTTCGTTTAGAAATGTTTAGAAAATGAATAGTAACACGTCTGTAACTTTTTTACAGATTGTATTCAACGATATCCATATTTTATAGTCATTTTAATATCGTTTTGTTTTGTAATAGAATAAATTATTCACACACACATACCGTTTTAATACATAAATGTGTGTAGGTATTATAAAATTTAATGCCTCACATGCTACTCTCAGTGCATCCTAAAAAAACATAATTATATATACATTTATTTAAACTGTGTTTACTTTACTTTCGTTTTACCTCTGTGATATACAACTTTCATTACATATTAAGGTTTGAAATTAAAAAATCTTTATATATATAATTCTTCTGTGAGTGTGTATGTCACTGAACTTCTCTCAAACGACTGCACCGATTTTGATGAATTTTTTTGTGTGTGTTCAAGGGGATCTGGGAATGGTTTAGATTCACAATATTGTCCGCTGGACAATGTTTTCTTAATTAATTTTTAATTTATTAGTAGTTGTTGATTTTGGAATGTTTTACATTGGATCCGACAGACGGCGCTACCATCGCAGTGTCAAATTTGACAGGACAACGTCTGTCGGGTCCGCTAGTCTAATATATAAAATTCTCGTGTCACAATGTTAGTTACCATACTCCTCCGAAACGGCTCGACCGGTTTTCGTGAAATTTTGTGTGCACATGGGGTAGGTCTGAGAGTCGGCCAACATCTATTTTCATACCCCTAAATGACAAGGGTGACCCACCCCAAATTTTTTTTTAAATATTTCCTAGAAATAATGTATATGGCAAAACAACGTTTGCCGGGTCAGCTAGTAAAATATATAAGTAGGTATGTGTTACGGGAATCAACGCGTTGATTCCCGTAACACATACCTACTTACGTTAGTGTTAAGTACAACGATTCAATTGCCTGACGTTTCGACCAGGTTGCACTGGCTGTGGTCTCTGGCTCACTCGAAAAAAAGTATATAACAAAATGCAATAGTAATGTGTAGTCTGGTGTATCTTCGTTAGATGGTACTGAATTATGTATTTTTTTTTGTTACTTTCCATTGAATATAGAAGCCGCCACACCACACACTTATACCTTTATCCCAAAATGGATAGGTGATTTGGTCCTATCGACATCAAACAGACGCCTCGAGAATTAAAAATGGGAAAAGTTGAAAGTGCATTATAAGAGAAAGACAATTCAGAGCGAAAAGTATTGCTAATTGTATTGAATCCTTACACCTCGTAAGTAATATCACTTTCCATCAGGTGACCCGTCTGCCCCCTCTAAAGAAAAGAAAGCTACGCGTAATTAAAAGCCTTTCTAACCAATATTATAAATGCAAAAGTAACTTTTTATTGTTTGTTACGCATTCAAGTCTTAATTTATTATTACAGTTCATCGTGGCATTTTGTATACATTTAGCGAGGGTTGGAGAAAATAATATAAGGTACCTTCATTATGTTAATAATACAATTCTCAAGGGACAGAAAAATTACTTTGCAAACATAGATATTCATCATCATCAGCCTATCGCAGTCTACTGCTGGACAAAGGCCTCTCCCATTACACCCCACTTAGACCGTTTTTGAGCTTCTCGCATACAGCGATATTCTCACGCCTATATCTCTGAAGAGGTAGGCAGAGACGCATTACACGACTATATTTTTTTATTTATAGATTTAGTCCCACTTATTTAAAGGGGGCAAGACTATTGCTGTCAATCAGACACTTTGGCAACAGATGGGAAAATTGGTAGAGGAAAAGCAAAGGTAGGAATGGAAAATTCCTTGCAGGTATGGATTGAGTAATGTTAACAATATCCCGAGCAGGTCCGTGTCACATACCTGGAACTATTGCTGAAATACCACCCACCGGTGGGGTGGTTATGTCGGACTCGAACCGACCAAAAACAGCACGCCGTCTCGGGTACCAGTTGCCGGGGAACCAGGTGTACCCTAGAAAGGAAATCCCTGGTACAATATCTGGGCCCTATAATAAGATAATGAAGAATAAAATACTGTATTAATGTTCAACAGAAATGGCGCGAGCAGGGCGTGGAGTTCCTACAGTTGGCAACCACAGATATATTTGAAACGCCAGACCAAGATAAACTGTTTGAAGGTGTCACATTTATTAACAGGTATGTTTGTGTTTATATTCCATTCATTGAAAAAAAAATGAGGCATCGATCAAGCCCCGCACACTGACCAATCAGGTTCCAAGCTTTTGTACGAAACGATAATCTCTTGAAATCTGATTGGTCAATGCGTCACTATTTTCTTAACGCGAATGGACTGTAGAGTGCCTACAGTCTGACATCTGTCGAAGCATATATCACTACGGTGGAGAGCTAAAGCTTGAAACGCATCACACTGGCCTTGACTGGCTTGTTTGTCTGTTGGTTAGTTGGTTAATGACCCTGACTGCTAAACCAGAGGATGTGGCTTCGTCCCACCCAGGACCAGTAAGTGTGTGAACAGTACGATCAATTGTTCTAATTCTGAATCTAATATATCTATAATATGTATTTATTTAGAAATATATAAGTATGTTTATCAGCAGTCTGGTTACCATAGTACTAACTCTGCCTAGTTTGGGATCAAACGGCCGTGTGTAAGTTATAATTATATTATAGACATCAGATATATTAAAGGTATTATAACAGTCTTTTTTTTCCAGGTTCCTGCCAGCAGACAGAAAGCTGCCAGGTGTACCGGCTGACCGGGAGCAGGTCAACAGCGGCACAGTATACGTCCATTGTAAAGCTGGACGTACCAGGAGTGCTACACTCGTCGGATGTTACCTTATGATGGTGAGAAGCACTTAGAGACGATATTTGGGTTCTATTCCCATTCAGAGCAACTAGATGTAAGCTTATTTGGATTGTTCAGGGTGTTTTTCATGGGGGCCATCTACACGCCGTGGATGGCCCGACTACTGGTACCCGAGACGGCGTGCGGTTTTTGGTCGGTTCGAGTCCGACATAATCACCCCGGTGGGTGATATCCGAGGGGATTTCCGCACAGGAAATAAAAGGTGTTTTTCATACATAGGTCGTTCTGTGGTTTCACCGGCAATTATAGTCACTGTTCTGTTTCCAAGTGTCGTAGCGTTGTGTTATATTCCCCTCAAACTGGTTTCAATGAATACTCTCAAACTAAAACAAAAAACTTTCAGGTTTCTCGCATTAGTATAAATATGACCCTCTAAAAATTGAATATTATGTGTTTTCTCGTTCTAGACCCAATAAATACAAGCTATGTTTATTATGCGTCTCAAATTACTGTCTTATATAGCACAGAACATTATTATTACTTTTCCATACAAATTTACAAAGAAAGAGTCATGACTTATTCTCAAATTAAATCATAGGACGTCAAGTGAACATAGGTATCCTTTAAAACTTTCTAAACAGATCGCTTTAAAATAGCAAGCGTCCACCGAATACCTAAATTCGTTACAAAATGACTGACAATGTATGTTTGTAATATCATTATATAGAAGCACGCGTGGTCCCCCAAGGAGGCGGTGAGCCACATGCGCGCGCGCCGCCCACACGTGCTGCTGCACACCAAGCAGTGGGAGGCGCTCGACCTGTTCCACCGCCGACACGTCACCCGCACGTGAGACGCTCTCCCCTGCTGTACAACTCCTCTGCTCTACACGGCTCATAGTTTGAGGTGTTCCACTTAAGGTTGAAAATCGCTTGCAAGCCTCCATCATCTTTAATAGTCAGTAGTCACTGTAAACTTAAAGACTACAAATAAAAATAGTCTTAAAAACCGTTATACTGTCTTAGCTATAATTAACATGTAACGACTAGGAGAGTCACAATAAAGAGAGCGCTACTATATTTTAATGGGTAATGTTGTAAGAAGAGAGAAAGAATGCGAGAAAGCATTTTGGTTCTTATTGCACACGGAATAAAGAAATGAATAATATAAGAAACAGTCAAAATGGTGCCAAAGAAGGACTTTTGCAAGCCTGTAATGAGCTATTTGTCTATGGTATAATTTCTTTTTTTTTTGTAAGCCTATTATCTAAGAAGCGAACCAGACTGTCATTAAACATTTGCGATTCTTACCTAAAAGTGTAACACCACAAAATTTATTATTTTTAGTCTAATCGTGTGTATAGTGAGGCACAAACTAGTGGTGTGCCGTATCATTAAATACAGACTTTTTTCACTCTAGGATATCCGTTGATATGCATACAAATATTCGGCACATCACTAGTACGAACGTATATATATAGTTAGACGTTCATCCCTCACTATAACCACGATTATTTTTATTTATTTTGATATACACATTTTTTTTGAAGTAAAACTTCTGTACGCACGCTTGACTTGAGAGTAAGGTGGTGAATGCGTGACGAGAGCGTTACGAAAGGTGTGATCGGTCGAGACGAACGGCAGTTGAGTGGGAGATATAAGTTAGTGAAGATAGTAAGAGAGAGAGTTACGTTTCGTATATTACTGTAGGGGCAAGAGAGAGAGGTGCGAGCACACATTTTCTTTCTCTCATAGCCAAGAAGTTTTACTTCAGTCGTGTAATTTAAAGCACACTCATTTTTTTAATTATAGTTTTCTCTACCAATGTTATCCAACTCGAACCGCCGCACTGTATCGGTAATATGTAATACTACCCAAGAATGGTTTATGTAATCTATCCACAAATTTTTACGTTTAGTAAAAATGTGTAGGCATAGTATTTGTACCAAAATTAAATCAACTGTCAAATCATTCGTTTTAAACAAATTTCAATATGGTAGATCCTGTAAAGACCTATAAGATTATAATAATTGACATAATAATTTTATCAAATAATAACAGAATTTCATAATTTATCTATAGGACAGCATATTAAGTTTTATATAGGGTTGGCACACTCGGTGATACTACAAATGATTCTCACTGCACGGGTGGTTTAAGCGATCACCTCCCGCTTCCTACTGCGCTGAGTGTTGTGGGCTTGATCCCCATATGGGACAACACTTTGCGTGATTCACAAAGTCTGGTGTTCTTTGTGCCCGTTTCAAGTATGTCACAGAATATATTCCTAGTGTGGGAGTTGTCTTTAAAGAAAACAATGGTTTCGGCTAGCTTCTTATATGGGCGGTCACCTGTATGATTCTATCTTTACGAGTATAACCGTATTCTAACGGGATAAAGGCATCATCATGATGATGTGATGAAAGGCAGATGGTAAATATTGGTCAGGAACACGTATAAGGAAGAAGCTAGATGTGACTTGGTCCCAAGACCTGTAGTACCACATGCCCTCATCCCAAGAGATCTCGGATACAGAAAGAGATTGCAGTATCCTGAAGAGGCCATGGTCCCGTTTGACCATTTCCTGGTTATCAGCAGCCCCTGCTGGACATAGGCCTCTCCTTAGAAAGGAGGTTTTGGCCTACTATACCATGCTGGCCAAACGGATTGGTGTACAACTAGTGTCAAGTTTTCCTTCTCTTTGTGTACGTAATTTGCTCATTTAGTCAGCTCTTACGACACCCACGGGATAAATAGAGGTGGTGACACCCCGTATTCTTAATCCGTCACCACACGGGGTATGATATGGCCTTACAACCAGCTTTGTATTTTTGGGCGCGTATAGCTTTGTATAAATGAAATTCCCATTGTGTGGTACTGTTATGTTGTGCTCAAATACATTATTATTTTACATGTAAATGTCTTGTTTCTGACAGTAAGTAAGTATTTCCTGTACAGTATTATAATAGTACAGAGTAATTGTTACAATCCACAATGTTATATATTTTTGTTATGAATATTTATTATTGTTGCTTTATTATAATAATAAATTATTCTAATAAGTTTTTGTATTCTTTTACCTCACTGATTACATTCACATTGGTAACTAGTTGTGAAACCTTTATATACATATACTCGTAGGAACGGACGTTATGTCTCTCCAACACACAAAGTTTAACCATGGGAGAGCCATGCTATAAGCTATTCTTTGAATTCGTCCACCAGTATCCCTTAGCTCGATCCGCTAAGGCAAGGCTTCCCAAACTATTTTGGGCAAGAGACCCTTTTTCTAAAATAAACTGATAACTCAGATCCCCGTAACCAAAATCTTGTACGCTTATAGACTCGTTTAGTGACCGTGACCTTGTCAGTTCATCAGGATCCCCTTTAAATAAAAGTAAGAAAAGACAGTAACACAAGGAAAACATTACAGAGAAATGGTATCATTTCCTCTTCATCCAGTGGGCTCAGTCTTATTATTAATCTAATTATGATGAGTGCATCACAATTAGATTTTTAAAAAGATTAACGCCTGTGCAAATAAAATAGCAACAAAAAGTGTTTTAACTATTATGTAGTAGTAGTAAAATATTTTCAAAATCGGTCCAGCCGTTTTAAAGATTACCCGGAACAAATAAACAGATAGACAACTGGTTTTTAGGAATAGGTATCTTGCAAATAACCGTATAAGCATAAAAAACACCTATTATTTTGACATTACAAACCGATACTTCAATTTTATTTATTCATATAGATGAGTAAATTTGTGTTGCTGCATTGCAGTGATCGATCGAGTTGGTCAGTAATGCGAGACATCGTGTAACCGACTGTAGAAGACATAATATCAGATGCCAATGTATTGTCAATACAGAACCATCTGTTATTATGTCTTCTACAGTTATTGATAATTTGGGCAACAAGGTGACAACAACAAAAAATACGGTAAGTTATGTGCACAGTATTTTCTACTCAGTCTCCTATATCTCCTCTCTTAGTTAAAGAAAGAAAGAAAGAAAATACGTTTATTAGTCACAACACAAACACAGCCAAAAAAGGAATTACAGATATAACAAAGAAGATAAAAAGAAAAGAAACAATTTTCTCAACTGAAGAATAGCACAAACAATAACAAAAACAAACAAGTACAAAAGAATAAAATGATCACTTCTCTATATTGTATATTCAACTAGTAAAAAATAAGTCAGAGATGATGACTTTTTGTTGCTATTTTATTTGCACAGGCGTTAAGACGCCTGAGTCGCAGACGTTCATGGACGGCGATGGTCACTTTCCATCAGGTGACCCGTCTGCCCCCTCTAATTTCAAAAAAAGAATAAAAAGATATATCGCTTTACTAGAGATACTACGAATATTCGGCAACTATTCGGTATTCGGCCAAATATTCCGAACTCGAAAAAGCACGAAAAATGAATGCCTGCAATTACTTCCAAAGATTTTTATTGTACCCAAAATTTATCATATTAATACTTAAAACTATTTTTTCAGCATTTGTTGAAAGGAAACGATCGCGCTTTGCCTCAAATTATACCTCACTGTATGCAGTGAGCGGCTATTTTCAGTTCTGCAGCAAATCTTAGAAAATTTTGATAGGTAAGGATATTGTTTTGCGTTTGCTGACCATTTTATTGATTCAGGTTTTAACCCGCAAAAGGTACTAAGTGTTGCCATATATTCGTTATTCGGCCAAATCACTATTCGTGGCATCTCGACCCTATACCAACTAACAACACCGTAAGAGACACCACCATTAGTTTCATGGGGAAGAGATGATTTCCCATGACACCACCGGGATGTCAGTGCAGCCGTTATCATTTTGGGGTTTCACCGGGAAACAAAGTTTGTTTAATAGGCAATCTCCAACTGCACTTTTCAAATTTGTTTTGCCTTTCAAAAAACTATGGTAACAAAAATGTTTTTGTTTTTATAGTTTTCATTCTCTATATCTGGTGTTCTAATTAAAGTGCGCTATTCGTTTTGTGGTGAGTGTGAGTTGATAAAAGTTAGTTTTATCAACTCAACCAGAGTTGAAACGTAGCTATGAACATTAATCAATGATGCTGAGCAGAGCCTTTGTACATTTTGAAAATAATACAAGGTTTTTTCTAAATATAATTTTCAAAGCAGGTAACTACGAAGCCTCGTTAACTTAGGTGGTACATTTTGAAAACAGAAGTATAAGAAAGTAAAGAAGAATTAGAAAAACTTTCTAAAAAGTAATTTTAACCAAGAAAGAAAAGATGTATAGAAAAATCCTTTATCTTTTGATGTAACTTTATTTCCTGAAAGTATTTGTGTAGATATACATTGCACAGACAATTATCACATTTAAAACATAAGCTAAAAGTTCAAATAAATAATGATTCTGGAAATCTGTAATTTTATTGCAAAACTATCTCCTTTTAACATCTTTTTAAGGCTATATATAAAAGTTTGTTTTTCTCATTTCTTTCCTCAATGCTAGTGTTATTGCTATTTATATTTAAATTGAATGATAATATACACCACAAATTTGAGAACTACGTTCACGACTACGCAATAAGTTACTAAATATAAGAACGAACATAACATAAATATTAGGATTGCAACATAAACATGCTTCGCGTACGAGATACGAATAAAAAAACAATACACATAACTACAGTTTATTCTAATCATAAATTAACAATACCGACATCTTAACATCACAATATACACAGTAACAACTGAACAAAGAATTAATTCTTTTAATATATATATATTTAATGCCAAACAAAACAATAAAAAAACTGCATTAAGTACATCAGAATGGACCAGTTTACGTTGCCAATAAAATTTTTCAAATCACATTTATTTCAACAATTCCATAGATAAAATATTATTACTAAAAGAAAAGTTATATCGTTATGATAGATAAATTTTATTGAACAGTCGGTTTCAGAATTTCTCTTAAAATGATGCCAGTTTTTATTACATGGCAACATTATTAAAAAAGATGGTTGACAATACTGTGTTCAACACTCATGTTAAGCCTAACTCTATATGAATAATTAATAATTAAGCCTTTTGAGAGTCAGACTTGATTGACCAGAATTGTAGGATTGTGTTGGAAAGTCCATTGCCGTGGGTGATGATGTAAAATAGACCGCCGAGTGTAGCAATACAGAATAGGTACACTAGGCCTAAGGCCAATTTTGGGATTATGGGACCGAATATGCTTGCGCGAACGTAGTCTACAGCTATCGCCTCCAGGCCCCTGTAAAAAACGATATTAAATATTGTTATAGCTTGCAATAACATTAAAATATTTATACATATAAAGAGTTTTTTTGAATACCCTAAATATAAGATTGGCCGCATCAGGCACAGACAAAAAAGATACTAATGAACCGTGTAGTGCAGAAACGATTCAATCACAAACTGAACAAATTAATAATGCCTCTTCACTTTTTAAAACTGTCTGTATTCAGTGTGATGAGAAAGGAGTTCTAGTTATAAAAAGGCATTTTCTAAGAAGATTATAAATACAGATACTTCTTGATATAATTTAACATAGGTACGTCGAATTTGACCATTTTATGATTTGGATATTTTCTGCACACAGTGTTGAATTACACAAACAATGTAAAAATATCTTCAAGGCTGTAATTACACAATTTAAGTACAATTAATATTTAATAACACTCTGTATCGTAACTAGCGTTGTATGCGCCCGGTACTAGGCTCTGTAATCGCAGGCAGTCGAAATATATTTTCGAAAATATTAAGATACATACATTGGTTCTGCGCTGAGTTTAATTTAGTATTTACCCCTGAATATCAACCCCCGATCAAGCGCCGCAAGTGGAACTGGATTGGCCACACTATGCGTAGGGACCCCGAGCATATCGCCAAACAGGCCCTGGATTGGAGCAAGGTAAACGTAAGCGTGGCCACCCAAAGCAAACTTGGCGGCGCACTGTCGCACATGAGGTGAAGAGAATCGACAAAACGTTGAGTGAGGTCAAGTGCGAAGCTCAAGCCGATCGCGGTAGAGGTCTACTGCGGACGCCCTCTGCCCCATTTCGGGGACTTAGGCTATTAAGTCAAGTCCCTTCCCGTGTCAGCGCACTATGCTTGGAGTTTAATTTGCCAAAAACCGCCAGAACCGCCATTAATGAAGATTCATTTGCGCTACGTATAAACCGACACGCCAGGTCAAAAAAATGATTGACATATTGGTCACGTGGACAGGAAATAGTGTTGTTTTCACTGCAGCTAGTGAAACAAAATAATTATAAATCCTAAGTAGGACTTTACGATTGAGATCACACACGTTGGCTTTTTAATTTGCACAGAATTGAATGACATTTAGCCTAAGAATATACTTAGAATATATCTTTAAATGTCGTACATAAACACCAAACAACCTAAGCACTAAGAAGGAAAGGTTAGGAAGGAAAGTGGATATTTTTTTGGATTTAGGAGTAATAGGGATTTATCGTATAAAGCAGGACAGGGACAGCTCCTGGGATCTGTATGCACTTCTCGGCTTTGCCGAGAGTTGTAAAGCAAATACTACGGCAATTTCAGCACATTATAGTACACTCGTAATTGCTGTTACGACTGAAGTTTTGACGTCTCAATATATAAAACTCATTAGTTTTATTTATATACTCGTCATTAATGTCAACTTTAATCCCTAATGTCAACAATTAATGAGTAATCTGAGCATGAAGTAGACGTTTGACATTGACTTTTAACAAAACAAAAAAGAATCTGGAGAGTAAAAAAAAACTTGCGACACTTAATATAATTATATTGAAAAAATGCTGACTATTGTCTACGATAATAAAGAATAAGTAAAAAAAATATCTCAAGCTACTTCCAATTAAAGTCTAACCTCATTATTAAGATTTCTTATGCATATCTTTCTTCATATTCCGCCAGATCCTCCAGAATCCCCGGCAGAGGCCGATATCATTGAACACCAGGTAAAATAGGCCTCCCAAAATTGAGACGGATAGGAAGTAGATGACCATCATTGCAACCTTAGGAATAAAGGGCCCAAAGAGCAGCACCCGTATATACTCAACCACCATCGCTTCTAGACCCCTGAGGAATGGAAAGGGATGGAAGAGGGAGGCTACTATTACTGATAGTATGTCTTCGTAATACTCATCATCATCATTATCAACAGCCTTTACTAGTCCACTGCTGGACATAGGTCTCTCCTTAGAAAGGAGGTTTTGGCTTACTACACCACGCTGACCAGACTGGTTGGTATAGGGTTTGTGTTAAGTTTTCCTTCTCTCTGCAGTGCTGTTGTCTTGCGTAGTTTGCTCCCTTAGTCGCCTCTTGGGTGTCGTACCCACGGGATACACAACACGGACGTGATACTTCGTAATACTACTACGACCTTTTCAAATTCAAATTCAAATTCAAATTATATATTTGCTATAAATGGGGTGGTAGATGTTGTGGTATTAAAGGTTCAATATATTGCGAACAGGCCCATTTAGCCATAAAGATAGCATGCAAATTTAACATTATTATTATTATTATTAATTTAACATTATTATATATTATTATTATTATTATCATCATTATTCATCAGTGTTTGTGTATTGATTATAATTTCACTTTTATTAATTATACCTACTACTCTCCACCATTCAGAAAGTCTTTGACCGAATAAAATGTATTTGTAATTAACCAATCTTTCAGGGCTGGAATGAACTTATTTAATGGTAGTTCTTTAAATCGTTCTGGGATTTTATTGAAGATTTTAATGCACATCGCGTAACAATTTTTTTGAATTCTTTTCGACCTAGGTACCATGTCCAACACAAGTCTATTTGGATTTCTAATGTTGCTCCTTTTGGTGACATCCTTCGCTTGCTTAAATGTTCGAGGGTGCTGTCTTATGAATTTGCATACCTCGAGGATGTACAAGCACGGTAACGTGAGGATTTTTAGTTTTTTAAAATATGGCCTACAAGATACGTCCGGAGCGATATCACATATGGACCTAATGCACCGTTTTTGTGCTATAAAGGCCTTATCTATGTCTGTACCGTTACCCCATACCAACAACCCATACCTTAACACAGATTCGACATACGCAAGGTACGCTGTACATGCTGTAATTTGGCAAGATACTTTTGCCAGTTTGTACAGAGCGAAAGAGAATCCATTTATCCTGTTTGCGATTTTGTCTATATGTTCCTTCCAGTTAAGTTTATCATTGATAACTATGCCAAGAAATGTCGTATTGTTAGCCATCGAGATGCTTAGTCCATTGTAATTTACATGTATGTCATCGTCATTTAAATTATTAAAATTAATTATATGCGTTTTTAATAAATTAATTTGTAAATTATTATAATTCAGCCAATTTATAATTGATGTCAAGGTATTATTGATGTCATTTTCGTGTTGTGCAATTGTCAGATTTTTATTTGTAGTTACTATTACTGACACATCATCAGCAAATAGTATAGTGTTATGGTGACTAACTTCTGGCAAGTCGTTAATGTAGACCAGGAAGAGTAACGGGCCCAACACACTGCCCTGGGGAACTCCAAATTTATTTAAATCATAGTTGGATCTCCTTACTTCAATACAGTCTTTGGCGGTTAATTGTGTCACATCAACACATTGATATCTATCATCTAGGTATGTCTTTAGCCAATTCAAAGCAGGTCCCCTAACACCATAATGCTCAAGTTTCATCAGAAGCTGCACATGTGAAACAAAATCAAAAGCCTTAGACATATCAAGAAACATCACCGTTGTGTACATTTTTTCATTGACACTCTGAAGGATGTCGTTGACCAAAGAGAAAGCTGCATCTCTGGTAGATCTTCCTCTTTGAAAACCGAATTGGTTCCCCACAATAACACCGTTCATCTTGAAGAAAGATGTAAGTTTCTCATGCATAACTTTTTCAAATATTTTTGAAAACACTGGCAGTACTGTAACAGGGCGATAGTTACTCAGTGTCGTTTTGTCTCCTTTTTTGTGCAGAGGTTTTATAACTGAGTACTTAAGCTTTTGAGGGAAAGTCCCTGTCTCTAATGAAAGATTCACCAGAAATGTAAGCATAGGAGTTAGTTGATAGCTGCACATTTTTACAACTTTTGTACATATAGAATCGTAACCCTCAGATGTTGTATTAGAAAGAGACATAATTATTTTATGTATGAACGACTCGTCTACCGGTGACAAAAACATTGAGTTCTTTTGTTTGTGTTTAGTACATGTATTATGAATGTCGCTATTCAATGTATTAGTTGTTGATATGAAATACTGATTGAATTCTTTAGCTATTTGTAATGGATCTGTAGTTTTTTCACCTTTTTTGTGTATCTCAGTAATGTGATTGCCCTTATTTGCAGAGCTCGCTTCACTCTTAATAACTGACCAGGTCGCCTTACATTTATTTTTACTATTGACAACATAATCTCTATTTGTTTTTCGTTTAGCTGTATTAATACATTTTTTTAACAGTTTGTCATACCTTAGATAAATATGTTTATCTTTTTTAGATTTAGTGAAATAATATTTATGCCGCAATTTTCTTTTATAACTACAACTTTTACGTAGTCCTTTTGTCATCCAATTATTTTTTTTTGATAACCATATTTTTACCTTAATAATCGGAAAACAAAGTTGATACAATAAGCAAAAGTAATCATAGAATATGTTAAATGCTAGATTCAGATCAGTTTCATTGTAATATTTCAAATATTGAATGCTAGGTAGATACTGACAAAACTTAGTAATATTTTCGATAGAGTAACACCTTTTAAAATTAAATACAAACTCGGGTATTTTATTTTTATACATTATACGTTTTGTCTCAATAGACAAACTATTAAAATAACAGTAAGTCACTGAAAAATTTTACAGTTACTGAAAAATTGGCTTAAACCACGTAATTTCTCCTGGCATTGAAGTATATCGGCATAATGATCTGGCAGGAAATAAGAACACTGAAATTTCAAACCGGTCATGTGACCTAATTCCGATAGACTACAGTGACGCTAATTATGTTTAGGAAGTTATTTCAAAACCATAAACCATATTCGAAACTATAAATAAGGGATCGTCTATTAATCACGTTGTGTTCTAGCAACTCTTTAACCCCCAATCGCCCTCATGGTGAGATTATAGACAACCCCTCCTCCTCTACTCAAGACCACGTGTTTTTTTTGGTACGAAATGTATTGAAATTTTCAGAATATTATGTTTGAATACAGATATAATTGATTAAATTTTGGATAATTAGGCATCGTAAAAATGTCCAGACAGATATTCAAAGTTGCAGGTTGTTTTTGATTGGCATAAAAATTATATAGGAAGGTGTGGAAAAAATATATATTTGTACATCGACATGTAATGAATGAAAAATGAAATCATGTGAACAACGCAAAATAAATACACGTGATATCTCATTACATTATAAATCCCCCCCCCCCCCCCCACAAGCCTAACGTGATTAATGTACTATCTCTACCCTAATGATTATAGTTTCATCACGATAATCGCTGATACTCAAACACCGAATAAAATAATCTTTAGTCCGATTATGGTGCAACGAGTAAAAATAACGCACTGGCTAGAATGGCATAATATTTTTCACTTACCAGAATGCATGCGCGCTGATGAGGATCGCGAGGATAGAATCAGTAATCCTATTGGGCGCTAACAGAGCAATAGGTATAATTGGTATCATGGCGGCAGAGACCAGTTTCTCAATAATCCAAATTTTGGCGTGATCGTGCGGCTTCTCAGATAGTCGTACACTTGTCGTACTGAATGAACGCACCTGAAAATAGACTGTATATCTCACTTTTTAACTTACTAGCCTTTGCCCGCGGCTACGCCCGCGTATATGTAAATAAAATCTATGTTACACGCTGATAATGTAGCTTTTCATTGGTGAAATTATTTTTCAAATCGGTTTAGTGGTTTAGGCCTGAAAGCGTAATATACAAACAAACTCACTTTCAAATTTTGAATATAAGTATAGAAATATGGATTACATAGAGAACTTTGCTCTAAGAAATATTGCATAAATAAACCACCAGCATTACAAAACCAAGCAGATTTGGTACAAGTAAAGGAGAATGCAAGTAAAGATGAATGAATACTTTATTTTCTACATGACTGGGTTGACTCGGAGAGAATGCCTAATGGCATTAAACCCACCTTGGTACAACATGTGCATTAAGTTTTAAATGAATAAAAATAAAATGTTGTTTACCAACATGATAATATTCCACTGTTTCGAATGTGTAAACAATATAATGATATTTGTTCTGATGTTGATATATTTGTTGGGGGTCACAGCATATTTATGAAATCCTTGCGGAAATTGAATGCACCTTGACATGTACTTGTTTTAGCTACATACTTATGATATTTTTATCAATATTTTTTGTATTATGTTTGTTTTTATGTACCACCATCTTTTCTGAAGCTGTATAAATCCTGGAAGCTGTGTACTATAGTTAACCACTTAATGTGTAACCACTTTTATATAGACAAGGCAATATAAGAACTTGGTTAAAGCAGTTAGAAAGGGTTTCATTGTAGTTACAAATACAATAATGTAAGATTTAATGAATGCATAATGTATGCAAGGAAAAACAGTTGTTACTTCTAAAAAGTCAAACGTAACTATAGTAACTACAGCCATAGATAAGTTGTAGGAAGATATGTAGTCTCTTCACAAGATTAAAGAATGTTATCTTCATGTAAAAGTAAGTTTAAGTACTACTTGGTGTGAATTTTGTAACTGTACCTTTTATAAATAAATAAATACAGACTAACATCAGTTTAGCTATATGTTGTTGGCTACATAAACAAGATGTAATAAAATGACATACCGCATTTAGAATAGGCGTGGTCTTATTGTCTCCGACAGCAAGTACCTTGACCGGAAGGGTGCTGCAAATAGCACGCTGTGCAAGTGACTGTTGTGTCCCAAGCTTTATAACTTGCTGTAACAATGCTTTGTTTGTGCATACTGTAACAGAGAACAATACTATCAGTAGTTTTAAACAACATCTCTTTCATGATGATGATGGTTGTAGCTGGTGAATGGCTATTATTATTGACGATAAATTTAATGTGTATCAGTATTTTCCACTAATATCTTATGATATAGGCGGAATTTTGTGTGTTTGTTAATACTTCACTCCCAAATGGCAAGACTGATTTTGATAAAATTTGATATGGAGATAGCTGACACCCTAGATTAACACAGACTACATTTTATTCCAAATAAATGTAGTGTTCTCGTGGGATGAGCAAGGAATTGTAAACTGCAGGCAACACTACACTGTGCAGCTAGTTTTAAAAAAAATGTAGTAATAACAAGTGCAGAATGTTTATTTTCAAAATGCATCTGGATGTATGGAAGTGGCAAAAGGAGTAGTTCCAGTTGAAAATCCTTTAAACTCAATGCGTCATTTTATAACTGACTAATTTTTTAATGGACACAGGTATCTTCATCTATGTATGATTAGACTTCTTGCACAGAGTAGAACTAATTGAGCTTCTGGCATATAAAAAATGGCAAATACTGTTGATTTAGTGGCATTCTGATTTATTTTTTATTATTATATTTTTATTAAATAGAAAGGTACAATGTTGTTTGTTGTAGTGGGTATTCAATGTCACAATTCTAACAGGCCTGTGATGTAGTCTCACAATAATTAGACCACAAAAATAAATGTGATTCTAATTACTTCGCCAATAAGAAATGTTTATCTAGGCATTTATTTACTATTAATACGATAATCTCAAGTCGTATTAATAGTAAAGTCGTAGATAATGAGAAAATTTTTCACAGTAAATAAAAATATTCATAATAATAATTTCTCTAACCTATACTGTTTTATATCCAAAATGAAAAACTTAAATCAATTATACAGAAGTGTACCAAGTACACGTGGAGTGCTGGGTTTTATTGGAAGCTGTATAAACGGACGTGTTAAGTTACAAATAGCAGCGTAAAAAGTATGATACTAGTATTATGTAACTTCAAAACAAGAGAAAAACATAGGTATACATCTACCTGGTGAACGAAGTAACATTGAAAAAGCCATATTTTAATGTAAACTATTCGTTTACGTTGTAAAACAAATTTTCCAAAAAATATTTAGCACACAAACATCAAGTTTCGAAATTTATTAGACGTCAAAGTTGAAGGAAATTCGAAAATCGAATAGAACCTTGCTTCACTTGTCAAAATGTCAAAGCCTTTTTCGCACAGTCTCACACAGACCAATGAAACACTGGTTCTTCTGAATCTGAGCTAAAAAGAAACAGATTATATCTTGTGTATTTAAATAACTTAATCTTGTATTTGTATTTTTATAAACATATACCTTAGTTAAATATTGTACATAATCTAATGATTTTTAAATTATTTCATAAAAATTTAATTGGTTTCGAATAAATTCTAGAAGTTAACGTTTAGTTATACGTTTTTATTTTTACAAAGACAACCCAAAGTAAGGCAGCACTGGAATGACAATTCATTTTGGTGACTAGTATTTTCAATTTCGGTTTTTGTTTAGCATCATTATAAAAGCTATTCTTACTTTAAGTTAACATTACAATCTTTGAAAATGGCAACGACCCTAGAAGACAAGTCTATTTGGGAAGATGGTGAAGAAGCTCTGAGTGAGGAAGTGCTTCGCATGCCCACAGACGAAATCATTAGCCGTACTAGGCTACTAGACAATGAGATTAAAATCATGAAAAGCGAAGTAATGAGAATCTCCCACGAACTCCAAGCCCAGAACGATAAAATAAAGGAAAACACTGAAAAAATCAAAGTGAACAAAACTTTGCCATATTTAGTGTCGAACGTCATTGAACTCTTAGATGTGGACCCTCAAGAAGAGGAGGAAGATGGTGCTGTAGTGGATCTGGACTCGCAGCGGAAAGGCAAATGCGCAGTTATCAAGACATCAACGCGACAAACATACTTTTTACCAGTCATTGGATTGGTTGATGCGGAGAAATTGAAACCAGGTGATCTCGTTGGTGTAAACAAGGATTCTTATTTGATTTTGGAGACACTGCCAGCTGAGTATGACGCCAGGGTTAAGGCAATGGAGGTTGATGAACGACCAACCGAACAATATTCTGACATTGGAGGTCTAGACAAACAAATTCAGGTCAGTGTTTTCAGAACACCAACAGATTTTAACCTTTCTTTATTTTCTTTTCTTAAAAGACAACTGCACTAAAAGTAAATTCTAAAAAATCCTGCAATAGTAAATCCTGCACTAAAAGTAAAGTGTGTTGTGGGGGAAAAAAAAACATTTTTTTCTCAAACATACTAACAATAGTATGAAGGTGTGTATAATAAGGAAAAAATTAACATTCTAGGAACTGATTGAGGCTGTAGTACTCCCTATGACACACAAAGAGAAGTTTGTGAACCTTGGCATCCATCCTCCCAAAGGAGTTCTGTTGTATGGCCCACCTGGTACGGGCAAGACTCTGCTGGCTAGAGCATGTGCTGCCCAGACAAAGTCTACTTTCTTAAAGCTGGCTGGCCCACAGCTGGTACAGATGTTTATTGGTAAGTACAATACATGCAGACCAGAGAATATTTTTTTTTACATACATCCACTCTCTGATTCTGGAGAAAGCGACTGAAGGGTAGTGTTGTTGGGCTGTAACTCTAAAGTTGTAGGTGTACATGGGGGGCGGTAGTCACTTACCATCAGGTGACCGGTATGCCTATGGTATAAAAAAATGTGAATTACAAAAAACTCCAATTGTTATTCTAGGTGATGGTGCTAAACTCGTCCGTGATGCATTTGCACTTGCAAAAGAAAAGGCGCCAGCTATTATCTTCATTGATGAGTTAGATGCTATCGGTACTAAGCGTTTTGATTCAGAAAAGGCTGGTGACCGTGAAGTGCAAAGAACTATGTTGGAGCTGCTTAATCAATTAGACGGGTTTAGTTCCACTGCAGATATTAAGGTAAGACTTTTTAATATATTTAAAATATGTTAAAAGTCTAATCAAATGACAATAAAGGACTTAAAGTCTGAAGCCTCCAACAATGAAATATGTAGTTACACTACATTCATATTCAAAGGCACGACAGTGACACATATATGTTATTAGGGATGAATTTGAAATGATTGTGAAGATTTTGAGTTGTAAAATGTTTCAATCACATTAGTTTTATGTTATACTAGCTGACCCGCGCAACTTCGTCTGTGTCTCTCAATAGTAATAAATTTTCTCCGTTTTTGAAACATTCTTCATTGGTGCTCCGCTCCTATTGATCTTAGCGTGATGATATATAGCCTATAGCCTTCCTCGATAAATGGGCTATCTAACACTGAAAGAATTTTTCAAATCGGACCAGTAGTTCCTGAGATTAGCGCGTTCAAACAAACAAACAAACAAACAAACTCTTCAGCTTTATGATATTAGTATAGATTAGGGATGAATTTGAAATGATTGTGAAGATTTTGAGTTTTAAAATGTTTCTATCACATTAGTTTTATGTTATATAACCTCTCGACAGTGTTGCGTCCGCTCAGCTGACTATGCACATTAGTGCGCTTCTGTGTCAAGTCCGCTACGGGGATCCGCCGTAGAGGTGTATGCATAGTCTGTTTTGTCGATTACTACAGTTCTCGCTCTATGGTACTTATTAACAATCAACTAAGAATGAACAGGTTCTCAATATCAAATAAAAGTTGTCTGTGGTAAAAAAATTTTTGACGATCGTTTATTTAAACTGTGACCATTTCAGTCAGTGTTTCCCGCGAACTTTTCGGTTTGTGCAAAAACAAATAGTGTAATAACTTTGGTTTATTGGTCATTTGATTTTATTTTATCAAGTTCTTAATATTATAAGTACCTACAAAAAATATATAAATTTACATCCAGCAAGGTCTTTATTTTTTATTAATTGTAAAATAAAAGATAAGTTTTAGGTGACCCATTTGTTTTCTCATATAACAGTTGCAATGCAATTCAAAGTCAAGTGTAGTGTAAGAAATTACACAAAGAAATCTAATTGGAATATAAATTATTAATGGCTTTATTATATTTATTAATGGATTTAGAGAAAATCAGGGTTTTTAAACCTATACCCTAAAACTACGTTGTCTGTGTAAAGTCCATTTAAGGGACTCCACAGACATGAATATTTTACATTTTTACATGTCACTGGCGAGAGGTTTAACCAATCGCCAGTGACATGTCAATCGGCAGCAATTAAAATTAATATTTAATTAATTTCTTCTTTTCCAAAAACAGAATGACAACTCTAATAGGGTAGATTCCTGGGTTTAAAATAAATACCACTTACCGGTGGCAATGTCGGACTCGAACCGACTAAACGCACGCCGTCTCAGGTACCAGTAGTCGGGGAACCAGCTTGTACCCTAGAAAGAAAATCGTTGGTGCCCTGACGTACCTTTGGGCCATCTACGGCGGGTAGACGACCACCCCTGTGTGGAAACCCCCATGTTCCCTCTGTGCTCCCGGAAGGGCACGCGCGCTTCGCAATGCGCTCGCCGCCACCCCGGCCTGCTTCTGCTAGAGTGGCAGATAGGCTCACCTGTCACCCCAGGCCTGCGCTTATGGAGGACGGAGGTCGTTCTGCGACCTCCGGCGCCTGAGTCGTCTGCGGTCCTTCTCCGCCATCTCCTTCGCAAGCATAACTTGCTCGCAGAAGACGGCAGAGTTCCACGCACTCTCGCTCCGCACGATAGTGGTGACACTCAGGCGTTAGCTCCTTGCGGATCAGACACAGGTGATCATTTGTTTAAAATCCACACCTTTCGACCTCTGTGCTGCCGCAGTAATTCATTACTTCTATTTGTATATAACATTGTATAGGTATAGGTTATGTATAGGTTTTTAACAAATTGGGGCTTCCACAGTCTATACAATGTGTTCTGGAATATTATAAAAACAGAATATTATCTTCTAGGTGATAGCAGCTACAAACAGAGTAGACATCTTAGATCCTGCACTCCTCCGTTCTGGACGTCTTGATAGGAAAATTGAGTTCCCTCACCCCAATGAGGAAGCTCGGGCTAGAATTATGCAGATTCATTCCAGGTAAAACCATTGCTTATTTCTTTTTAATTACTATTTTATAGAGTATTTACACAGGGTAATCAGTTTTAATTTACCATTGATTTTCAAACACTAACTGACTGGCAGTCTAATTTTAAACTAGGCACAGCCTGTACTATGGTAACCAACTGCTGATAAACATAAGTCAATATTTCTGAATTCATACATATTATAGATAAATTACATCCAGCCACAGAACAAATGATTGTACTCATCACAGAACTTTTGTCAAAATTAGTAATTGAAATTAATACATATAAATTATTTAATTTCTAACAGGAAAATGAATGTTTGTCCTGATGTGAACTTCGAGGAGCTCTCTCGTTCCACGGATGATTTCAACGGCGCCCAATGTAAGGCGGTTTGCGTTGAAGCCGGTATGATCGCTCTCCGGCGTTCTGCAACTTCTGTTACTCACGAAGATTTCATGGACGCTATACTGGAAGTACAAGCCAAGAAGAAGGCCAATCTCAGCTACTATGCCTAGCCTGTTAGGCCTTTGTCCCCATTGGGTATTTTTAAGTAATTATATAATAAAAATTAGGTAAAAATGTTTTGTTGTTTTTTTTTTTAATTACGAACTTGTCTTGTCCCAAATACTTTAGGTATTTAAATATTATTAATAAAAGGATCTTTCGACATTGTCGTTGAATTAAAAAGCATATGCACCTTACATCAGTCTTTACACAGGGTAAACTTACACACACAGGACAAGACAGACCTCTCATGAAGCATCTGATCCAAGCAGAGAAACTTGAGTAATTTCGTATTCATAACCTCTCGCTAACATTATGCCCTAAAAGGTTTCCATAGGTACGAAAAAAGTACAGATTGTAGGTAAACCAATCTCTCGATACATTTATATTTATTTACCTACGTATTGCGCTCCTAGTCCCTAATAAAATCTGGGTCAATTAATTTAGGCAATTTAGAAAGTAGTTAAAATACTACACAACTAGTATGATGATGAATCAAAACGTGGATTTTGAAAAAATGTAACTGAAGGCATACAGGTAATTTAGGAAGTAATTTCATGTAGTCGTTTTATTTGATCCAATGTTGTGCTTTCTGTTTGTCATCTGCAGTCATTGCGGCTGATGAAGAGAGGCAGGGCTTTTGAAAAGTAAACTAACTTGAATAGCGCATTTAGTTTCTGGTTAAGTTTGTCGAATTACGTACATGGTTTTCAATCATTTGTTTGATGCAGTTAAGAAAGTTACAATAGAAAAGAGACCAAAATTTTGAAAAAAAAAATAATTCAAGAATGTGAACGCACCCAAGAATATTTCAACTTTTTAACGCGCGTGCGTATGTCAAATTTGAAACATGAAAAAATGAACTGATCAAAATTTTAGCAGACTGTTGCTTTAGTTGTAATTTATTAAACCAAATATATAAAAACCTAGAAAATGTGAAAATTTTAAGTGTTGAAAATATATCCTTGGCAGATACTACACCCGTCGGAGTAAATTTTGCTAATAATCGTAAGTAAGTACTTAACCTATTTTAGCAAATTTGCACTATGACATTGGCTGCAAGTAAGGTATAAACAATGATTGTGGATATTGCCGCATAACGTTATCGATTTGTGAATGTTTTTCCAGTATCTATATGGTGTGTATGCTTAGAGCTTAATTTATCCGGCTTGGAAATCCTTGTATTTGATTGGCTACTTCTACAGATAACTTATTTCGTCTATATATACTTCCCAGACTACTCTTATTTTGATTGACACTAAATTCTTACATACCTAGTTACTTATTGGTGTAGATTATAATAATTTTATTAGAATAATTTTTTGAGTCATTTGAGTTCCATAAATCTATGTCCCAAATTTTAGTTAAACCAAAAATTTTATTATTTTTTTATTCTAAAGCTTCCTGACCTTACATACAGGAGAATTATCAAATTTAAAGTTACAAGTTAAAACTAGGGTCTGCTGTAAACTAAGAAAAAAACTTTTTTGCAGTAAAATATAAGATTATTTATTAATTCTAAATTCAAACTATTTGTTTCACTGCATCCATAGAGCCATGGATCTGGAGGATGAATGTGAGCTTAGTTTTAAGTGTTCATCTGTCTCATCTGATGACATACCCAAAGTACACACAGTATGCAACCAACACCGTCCACACACCAGGTTTTTAATATCATATGTATTTTATTTATCTTTTCCAGTTTCAATTTATGCTTTTTGAAATGCTTTTTTTCAATACAAGTATAAATAAAAATGGTTCTTATTGTGCACAATTTTTAAAGGATTTAAAATAATACTTTTTTTCCAATTAGAATCTGATTATATAGTAAACCAATACATATTAAATGTATAAAGTTAAAATACTGTAGTTTCAGCTTCATATTTAAATTTATTATTATTTTTATGTAAATCTTTATAATTTTTAGTTATTTTTACATTACACATACATTTTAGTACTTATTACATTTAGATGTTTTTAATTACAAATTTTCTCAATAATCACTTTAATTGCACTGCTATTTTTTTCACTTCTGCACTAAGGAATACCCACTATAGAATAAAATAAAGGGTAACTGCCATATGTAATATTTACTCTATTTGTAGTTTAGTTTTCATTATCTCATGACATCTAAAAGATATATTAGAATAAATAGGTTCTTTACTAATGTAAAAGTTTGACATTACCTCTCTATGAAATATATTTCTTCTCATTTTATATTATATTATTCTGGGTTATTATCATTACAATAATATTATTAGCTGGTATCATACATGTAAATGAAAATACACAAAAAATACCTAATAATTATTCCATTTAAAAGACATAACCTAACTTGTCTGAAAAAAGCTACAAATGTTGTCATGTGAGTTTTTGTCATTAAGAAAATTAAAATAAAAACAAAAAAAAAATACATGATATTGTTTACATGAAATTAGAGAGCAAACTATGCAGGACAACAGCACTGCAAAGAGAAGGTGAACTTGAAATAAACCTAGTTATAGTGGGCCAAAACCTCGTTCCTAAGGACAGTCAATAGGCTCCAGCAATAGGCTACTAATGGCTGTTGATGATGCTGAAATGCATTTAATATTCCAACTCTCAGTGGAAGGTTGATTACTTTAGGTGTAATATATATACACTTAAATTAAAGCCATAGGCAGCGGTTGTTACTATAAAGACGATTTCAAACAATTTTATGAAGTAAAGATATTTTGAGTTTTTTAAGTGACCTTACTGCTTGTTTGCTCACTTACACCATTAAAAAAGTTTCACAGTTTAATGGCCTTAAGCACTTCTTACTAGACACTAACACGAAAATGTAAAAAGAAGAAACGAGTGAGCCCTACAGTCACGAGAAGGTATGCCATAAAAATAAAGATGCTTATGATGTTTAATAGCTGACATCTTCCTTACCATCTAACGCACATCTCTAGAACCGCGCGCGCATATTGGTCAAATCAAATTCCGCGCGCTTTCTCGTCTTCCTGTAGCACATTTCCGTCCCTTTTCAAGAAAAAACTTGCATGCATTGAAGGAAAACCAGATTAGCATTACACATCTAAAACAAAAATAATAATTGTCTCTCATAATTCTTTCGTGACGTTTGCGTGTTTGCTCAAGTTCGAAGTTCGTGATTTGATGTTTCAGCCCTTTTATTATAAAGTTGTCACAAAGTTCTTGACACTAATTTGTTTTAATCTTCGTACATGTGTTTACACTTGCAGATTTGTAAAAGAAGTTTTATTTCAACCACTTTTGTAGCATTATGATAGTAATATATCGCGGCAACGCGATTCTCGAAGTATCTAGTTCAAATTGCTAACCATTCAAAAGCACGCGTATTTCCTTTAACGTACTACTTGGTCTTGGGCCTCGTGAGATGTCTTTTCACGACCCTCATAAGACAGCCCTCGAAGCCTTGAAACGAAGGCAACTATTTTCATCATCTGCATCCAAATGATTGTCCTGAATCTTCAGGTATTATCTAAATCACTGTCAGGCCAGTTGAAGTCTTACTAACTTACTATAATAAAAACAGAATTCGAACTATGTAAATGGACTTATGTTATGGGTTCAGTTTTTCCAACAACAATCTGATTTGCTCGAACTATAGCTTGCTAACTCTATCTTTCTTTTCCCTGTCAATAAATGCCCAATATCGGGATACAAACGTGACGGTTATTTATGCAGCATGAATTGAGCTCACACAAAAATATGTATAAGTATATGTATGTAGCGAATCGTATAAATTTTCATTGATTACTTAATACATTATGACGTAACCTCTGCCTTGGGCATTAAGTCCGTCGATGTGCAAAAGTGCATAAAGTTAAATAAATCTATACTAATATTATAAAGCTGAAGAGTTTGTTTGTTTGTTTGAACGCGCTAATCTCAGGAACTACTGGTCCGATTTGAAAAATTCTTTCAGTGTTAGATAGCCCATTTATCGAGGAAGGCTATAGGCTATATATCATCACGCTAAGACCAATAGGAGCGGAGCACCAATGAAGAATGTTTCAAAAACGGAGAAAATTTATTACTATTGAGAGACGCAGACGAAGTTGCGCGGGTCAGCTAGTTAATAATAAAAGTATTCTATAAGTACATCGTGTCTGTTCGGTGCACAGTGAATCATTCCTTAGTTCGAAGTAAAGAACGTACCGTGACATCACACAAATGTCTGTACCTATTAGGCACTTATCTCATAGTAACTGGACAAACGATTAAATTCAGTTTTACACACTTAACTGAAGTGTGTCTTCGTCCAACTGAGATTAATGGATCACGTAGTATGTCCAATACTGACTGACTGACAAAACTGACTTAGACAATCTGATATGCTCACAACAGTCGAAACTGCAAAACTTTTGTAGGAATTCGTTTTTGCTTTTTCTTCTATGAGTCCTTGAGAGAGAACTTAGATATTTGGGTTTGACATTTAGAAATAGTATTTTAGAATAGTAAAACAAAATAAATATGCGTCCCTTTACGTAGGTATGTCTATTTAGTGGAAATTGTAGTTAAGGCATAGTCCTCAGTTTGATGTTTAAGATAAATCTATCCCTCGCACTTTCAGTTAACCGTGTCATTGAAGCTTTTGCGGCTATTTAGACGACATAACGGTTGTTTTCAGACTTTGACTTGATGAATTCGGAAAGTCACTAATGCAGAGCACAAGCACACTGTCGACGTCAAATGTACCTCACCATGACATTTAACCCATAAGCTTCTTACTCTTCTAGTCTTGTTTTTGTCCTCAAAATTATTTAAAATCGATAAACTCTGAAATTACCAAACTAATAATTACATTGTAAAGCTACAATACTTTATTCCAGTAATGTACCTTAGTCTATATAAATGCGGGCAACGCCGCGGCTGAAGCTAGTGTCGATATAAAATTAGCATCTAATACGTATTACGACCACCGCGTTTGTCTGTTCAGATGTGTATCGCCAACAACCCCCCAGGTAGTTGCATTTTTAAAAACAAGGATACAATAAACATT